AAAAATAAAAAAATAAAATTGTCGTTAATTACTTATCTGCGCGACGGCGATGACAAGGATGGCGCGGCGCAGCAACGAGGACGAGAGGCATGGTGATGATGACGTGGCGCAACGGCGGCGATCCCGTCGGTGACGATGATGACGGGGCACAATGACGACGATCGCGATGTTGACGATGATGACGTGGCACGGCGGCGACGATCTCGACGATGATGTTAATGATGGCCAGGTGACGACGTCGAAGCAGGGTGCAGGGTGGGTTGGGCGGGTTCGAACCGCTCCGATACCAGTGTAACGAGCGTGAGGCTGAGGGTGAGCCGAGGGAGAGGAGAGAGAGAGGGAGAGAGTGAGAGCACACACACACTCACTCACTCGACACGACGGACTCGGACTGACGGTCGGACGCAGACACAGTGGCAAGGCACAAAGTCGAAGTCTTGGATTCTGAATGCCGGAACGGCAAGTCACAGTGAGTACGAGTACAGCAGCAGAGAACTGGTACCAGACTGGTCCCCGTACCGTACGGGGAGCCGGTATAAGTACTGGTGACACGTACGGTACCAGGGGCATTTCTGCAAAGGCCCCGAGGGCAGAACTGAAAAATGCAGTATTTGAAAGTGGCGCCCGAATTGCAGCATGGCGCCAAAAATCCTACGGTACCAAAGGAGGGGTTCGGAAAAAGGGTGCCAGGCCGAAAACGGGATGCAGCCAAAACAGCAAAAGATAGACCAGGGATCGAGCCCTGGCGAAGTCCGTAACACTTCGCCTGATAAGGTGAAAAGGGGGCTTTTGGACGACATTGGATGGAGAGAGGTATCTTTCTGATCAAGCATCTATAGAACGAGACCATGCAAACCTGGAAAACCCAGGAGGAACCGTGTGGCCACTCCCAGGTTCTCCTGGTCCGGTGGAGGCTCCATCTATTGGTGGGGAGCAGCACCTGCTGGGAAGGGGGCCCAGCGTCCCAGATTACAGATACCCAGGATTCCTAGAAATCACAGTTAGTATAGATACTGGTCGCCTGATGTGGGCTAATAGACTGTGACATATTTTGTGTGTAATATGGTGTGATTGTTTGTAGGCATATGGTACATGTATTGAGTGTAATGTAGTGTGTATGTTTGTAGGCGTATAGTACAGTACTATCCATGTCTATTTGTGTTTGCAATTAGCAGCATTAGTAATGTTGTACTGGGTCGTAATATTAAGCAGCGTTTGACAGTGTTTGACAGTATTGACAGTGTTGTATTGAGTGCTAAGTTCTGATGCATGATGCATGAGCTCTTGTATGTCAAGTGTGTAATGTGTAAGTTTCTAACTACATGGTGCGGTGGAGTTGGTGTAATCTATGGAAGCATTTTACAGTATTTGGCTATGTTGTACTCAATCCTATCATTGAGCAGCATTTGAACGTGTTGTATGACACATGACTTCAGCTGAGTCGACCCTTTCTCCTCAAGCCGCTCTTCAGATTAGAGCAGCAAAACAGTCAATCCATGGCCGGCTAGGTAACGGGGGGGGGGCGACGGAAGAGGGGACGGGGGGACAAAGAGAAAGAGGGAAGGGTGGGGAGGAGGGGGATGGGAAGATGCTGGGGATGATGGGGAAGAGGGGGAGAGGGATACCCAGATTACCTGGATTTTGGCAATAACAGATGGACGGTTAGGCATAGATGAGGACAAAGTTTGTTGGTTGATGGACGACTTGGAAGTGGAGTGTTGGCAGTCTTTCCCATAGTCTCTCTGAGGGGAGCCAGGAATGTCATGTGAGGGCGGAAAAGTCGCACAGCGGAGTTTGGAACTGCAGTTCAGTCAGGCAGACGGCCGTTTTTTTTTTTTTTTTTTTTTT